TGCGTGTCAATGCAAACTTTGCTGACTTGCATGCGAATGTTGCTTGCACAAACATTGAGGCGAACTGCAAAGTTGTCGTCGTCAGTTGCTGTTCTTGTTGCTGTTGCTGTTGTTGTTGTCTTGTCTTTGCTGCTGCTGCAACACAAACAACAACAGCAACTGCATCGGCTCTGGCTCTGGCTCCAGCTCCAGCTCCAACTACGGCGACGGCAGCAACCGCTTGGCTTGTTGGCCTGAGCGACCACAGCTGGGTGTCCTGTGCGCGCACAGTTAAGCAAACTTTGAGGGCCAAGGGTTGGTACGGCGGACAACGGCCTGGACTTCAGCAATAGCCGTCAGTGCTGACAGCAAGCGGGACTATAGCTAGAATATACCGTTGTAATATGGCTCAGGTATATTGTATATATATTATTTGATATATTATTTATATTCATCATTCATTATTCAGCTTTCAGTATTCATTTTTCATATTTTTATCATAATTCATCATTTTTGTTTTTCACCTTTTAGCTTACATATTTTATCTATTATCTGACATCTTTTTATCTTTCAACTTTAATCTTTCATCATTCGATATTCGACATTCCTCTTGATCATCATCTTCGATTCTTATCCCTAGCATCATTACCAGCATAACAATCATCAAGATCATTACCAGCATCTGCTTCGCAATCGTCATCATGATGATGAAGCAATATGATCATCACCATCATCATCATCATCATCACCATCGTCGCCATCATCATCGTTATATTTCGTGCTCATTCATCATCTTATCACTATCATTATCATCATCATCATCATCATCATCAACATAATGACTATTTATACTTTATGATATCAACATATTTCGCTCGGCCTGTTACACCCATTAAGAGAATGTAATTACAATTGCAAATTTGTATGAGTGCAGGCCGCTGTCAAGTTTAGCTATAAAATGGCCAACTGAGCTGCGCTGCTGCTGCGTAAGTTGTCAGTTTTGCAGTTGGTGTTACATTTTTACGTGCTCCAACGCCCAATGATGGCACGCACGCACACAACTGCAGTAATCAAACACGCACACACACACACACACTCACACACACACACACACATACGCACATTCAACTCGGTGGTCAGCGGACAAACGCCTACGCAGTGAGAGTTCGCGGCAATGGCCAGGCAACATGATAAATGTCCAATCTCTGGCAGAGCCTAGGTGAGCGAGCAGCAGCAGCAGCAGCTGGAGGGCTATGAGTACGTGCTTGGCAGGAGCAGGACGTGTGCCAGTGAGTTATGCGGCATTTGGCACACACACACACACATACGTCAACAGCTACAACGAGAGCAGCTTCAGTCATGGCACAAGATTATTCGGACAAAATCAATTAAAATGCCAGGCGGCATGACTCACTGAAGGGACCCCAAACGGTGTGCGGAGCACAAAGATTCTGTCTGATGGAAGAAGCAAAAAAGGAGACGCATCAGACCCATCACAGCACTGAGGTTGGTCTTCAAAAACTGCTGAAAGCTTTGTGTGAGTGTGGAAATTACAACGCTTGTGGCTGCAGTCGCTGGGATTTGCATATACCCAATCATCATCATCAGCAACAGCAACAGCAACAGCAACAGCAACATGGAGTCTCTCACACTTGACCCCATTTTTGAGCGGGCGGCACGTTCTGTAATCGATCATCAAGGCAAAAAGTGGCCCGCATGTCAGCGGCTCATCCGCATCAACAAAGTGCAGACATTGTGGCGTTGCCGATTGCAGGCGTGCAGCAATAACAACAACAACAACATCAACAGCAACAGCATCAACAGCAACATTCAACGCATTGGGGCAATAACAATGCGCATACCACAGATATCAATTAATTTCAGCGACGTGAAAAGGCCAACAAATCGTAATAAGTCAATGCCTGGCACACAGGGTTCGAACCGTGGCCTTTTCTCCATTATGCCCGCCAACAGCCAACAGAATCTATTGATAAACACAAATAAGTGTCTGTGTGTGTGTGTGTGTGTGTGTGTGTGTGTGTGCGTGTGTGCGTCGAGTGGCAGGATGAATGTCTATATGTCGATAAGTCCGCGTGTCTCTGTTGAGAATCCAGCACAGCATTCGATGCAAAGTCACAATCATCATCAATCGGTTAAGAAAATATTTAACAAGTGTTTGAATGATTTTGAAAAATGATGTGCAGCATGTGCAGCAGCAGCAGCAGCGGCAGCAGCGGCAGCAACAGCAACGACATTGGATATGAGCTCAATTCCAGCTACGATTCTGGACGCAGCTCGAGCAACAGCAACACCAGCTCTACAAATTATTGCACGCGATCGCTCATTTCCAGCAGAAATAACACAAACACGGCAGCAGCAGCAACAACAACAGCAACAACAACAACCAAGATTCGATCATAAACCAGGCAGTCAGACCGGCAGCTAACCCGTTCCGTTCAGTCCATGCCCATGCCCGTGCCCGTGCCCGTGCCCATATAACCGTATCCGAATGCGATGTAGAGATATAGCAAATAAGATATGGCTGGGGCATGTCATGCGCCCGCGACTGTGAAAACATCTCAATGGCAAAAGTATCACATCATTCATAATTTCATTGCCGGGCAAGTGGGAATTGGGGAATTGAAGATGGAGATGGAGATGGCGAAGGCGAAGGCGAAGGCGAAGACGAAGGCGAAGGAGATGGGAATGCGACATGGGGTATTTGGGAATTGAGTTGTTGTAGCTTGCCACAAAAAAATCTCTTGCCTCAAGTGTTGAATGTTTGCTCAAATAACAACAGCAACAGCAGCAGCCGCAGCAGCAGCGGCGACAACAACAACAACAACAACAGCAACAACATCGATTCACAGATCTTGAGCTCTCGATCTTGTTGTCGATCTCAGTCAGAGGCGCGGTGAAATTTGACAAATGAACCACCAAAAATAATATACATATATGTATATACATATATATATACTTGTATATCTCTTTGATAGCATGATCATTATTAATGATGACGATTTGTTGATATTTTTGTAACGTGTTGTGGCAATGGCTGTGACTGTGAATGTGACTGTGAATGTGACTACGATCAGCCCGTTCAGCCCGTTCAGCCGTCCGCTCTTCGATCCGATCTCCTTTCGACAATTACAAACAAGTGCAGTCCTGCATAAGTGTCAAGTCACGCACGCAGCCACCCGCCTGATGATGATGCACACAAATTGCTGACCAACTGTTGCTGTTGTTGCTGTTGCTGTTGTTGCTTGGGTCCGATCGAACGTCGAATCGACTTCAACTGCCGCTGGCCGGAAATCTTTGCATAATCTAGGCTTATAATTCAATTAATACGATGGCTTGTGCACTTAACGCCGAGCCTGAAGTGCAACACTAGAATGCTGCCACATGACTGGCAACTCGAGTGTCGAGTGGACGACGATGCTCCCTCCTCTTTCTCCTCCTTCTGCTTCTCCTCAGCCACGAGGTCTGCCGTCACACTGTCTGCTTTAGCTGCTGCATCGATCTTCTGATCTGTCTCTCGATCTGTGCTCGCGTGCACCGGAAATCGATTTCGAGTGTTGCCAAAGATCAGTTGGCATTAGCAAGTGTCGCATTAGCGTTCAATTGCGCCACGCTCAAGCTGCGACGTGCACTCGCCTTAAAAGCTCACAGCTGCCTCACCGTTACAGTCTTGATCAGCTATAGTAAATATTTGATGTGCCTAGTGAGTGGATAAGTTTTTGCTGTTTGTTGATTGAAAGTTTTGATCGGTAGTTGATTTCCAGTAATGAGTTGAGAGTTGATTTTACTTTTAATTTAAGTGAACTTGGCTAAGATATTAGGTTTTATATTACATTCATTCTTGGCTAGGCAGCATACTTACTACTCGTTATCGTTATCGTTATCGATAGACGAAAGCTGTTATGATACCTCTCTACTGCAATTACTTTGTTATTATTGTCGTTATCGATATTTATCGAACGTTGTCCAAGTCCAGCTCTACATCGTGCAACTTGTAATCATTATCGATATACATAGACAAAAGTCGTTTAGGTGACACAACTTCTAAAACGTACAACTTATTAATCACAGCTCTATAGCATATCAGTTTATCGATAACTATAATAAAATGTCTTCAAGGCAACCTTTTAAGCATTTTGGCTTTCTCTTCTAAACGACTCTATGACAACGCTGATTGTCTTCTATGTTATGTCTATGCAGCTCACCCCAAATACTTCCGGTTTCCAGCGATAAATAGATAACACAGTAATCGATTTTTGTTTTTAAAAAGGGTTTTTGTTTTGCATTTTAATTGATTTCGATTCGTCTTTAATTGTATAATTGTTTTGTAATTTGTGTTAACTAAATAGTTTAGTTTCAATGAATCAATTTGCGTCGCTTATCAATTTCGGCTATTATAGATCTATGTACAAAATGCCTGGCCAGTTACATATACATATACATATATATATATAAATAGGTATACTTTTTTATACATTTAAAAAACAAGAAAATAAACAATAACAACATTTCTCATGATAGGCATATACATACATATTTATAAAGTTTAGTGTTTAAATATATTACAAAAGCCTTGGCAAGCAGCTGCATTTCTATGCTTAGAGGGACAGACAGAGACAGATAGATGTACATTTAAAGAGAGAGAGAGAGAGAGAGATAGGCAGAGGGGCAAAACACTTAACAATTAGGCATTAAACTAAATTAAATTTAAATTTCATTTAAATTAAATTAACTAAACTAAGCTTAGGTTGTTTTATCTTTTCTTCATCTTCTTCTCCTTCTTCATTTTATAGGCTATGCAGGAATGTATGTGTTGTGTTCTGAGATTTGTGTGGATCATGAACGACTGGACAAACAATGCTCAAAGCATCGAAACAGATTGATCAACTCCGATTGGGTTTGCAGCGAGTTTTCCATGTTGCAAGTTTTCATCTTCTTCTTCATTTTCTTTTGCGTTTTTTTTTCATTTCATATGAAATAAAATTTTGACTAGGAAAGGACGTTTTTGTTTGTATGTGTGTTTTCATAGATTTCTTGTTGCTTAAGTAGCAGCCCACAGCCAGCTAATGCCACAGCTCCAAGGATGATCCATTGGTCTGATCATCCACTGAGCTAGCGATGGGCACGCGCTGGCGAGGACTGCTGCAGTCACACCTCGCTGGGCATACAGTGAACGCTCGAATCCTGCGACAGTTCATCCATGGAGGATTCTAAAGGGGCAGACAAGAGAGAGAGAGAGAGAGATATGAAGAGCAAGAGTTAGTTTAGGCTTAAGTTGAGCTTTGCGCTTTCGTTTTGGACTCTTACCATGCGCTGGATATAGAGCCCCTTTGTTGCCATTCATATGCATGGGATTCTGTGCGTTATTCTGAAATGAATACGTTAACTGCAGGTTAATATGACGCGCAAATGAGCTTCCTTCCGGTTCGCGTACTGCAATCAGAAATCGTTTGTCAAAATTCATAAATTAGCAACGTCATATATATGATATGATATATGTATATAGATAGATTGATATAGATGTGGATATAGTAAGTAAGTATTAAGTTCTAGTTAATACAGCTACTTAATGTCTAGGGTGTTTTAGGCTGTTGTGGGGGCGTGGTGGGTGGCTGGTGGTCTGGACATGCTGCACTAATCCACTACTTACTTTTGTTCTTACCAGCATGTATGTGTTTTTTTTGACGCGCCCGCGAATTCTGAAACCAAACTTGCGTCACGCGCTTGCTCAGACCAGTTACTGACGCGATGCGCTCCAAATCCTGGCCATCCGGATTACTGTCAATCTGAAAGTTGGCCTGCAGCACTTGCAACTGCTCCTCGGTAAAGGTGGTGCGCACGCGTTTCGTTTTACTCTTGTGATAACCATCACCATCACAGCCATCTAAACAGAGAAGAAGAACAAATTGAAATGGAATTTCAGTTAGCAATGCGACCATAAACTCTACATATACACACATATACATATACATTTATAGATCTGGTGAGTACGTGCCTAAGCCTGTGTCTAAAAGCATTTTGACAGTAGACCAAATTGAAAATGTCAAAAGTGTTTATAGTTTATAGCCATGTGGCTGTTTGGCTGGCTGGCTGCCCGCCTTTATGGCCAACAGCTTCTTGGTGGTCAACAGCAACAACAACAACAGCGACAACGACAACGAGCACAAAACAACATTCTGAAGCCGATCACGTCGTCTGGCGCGTCGCGGCTTTGACTCTTTATGCCTCAGTTATGACACGATTTCATCAAGGAGCTGGCGACTACCTGGCGCTTAGTGCCCCGCCAAGCGTTCCAAATTGCCATACCGATTCGCTAGCAGCAGCCATACCGAACCATGCAACATGTTGCAGCACAGCTACTTATTTCATTTGCTTGCTTCGTTTCTGTTCCTCTGTTCCCCTGCTCTTTTCTCCTCCGCAGATTTCTTTTTATGACATTCTGATTTAGTGGTTCCGCTTACCGTCACTTGATGTGGTGCCACCCTCGACCGTTTCCAGATAATGAGCCTTGCAGAGCACCCGGTCATCCATGAGCGCAAACTGTTCCCCGGTGGACAATTGCCGTCCGCATTGATCGCAGGCAAAGCACGCCAAATGGAATACCAAATCGCGCGCTCGTCTCACCCAGTCGGAGGCGGAGATGCCGCGACAGCACTTCGAGCACTTGGCGCCGAAATTTCTGCAAAACAAAATTGAACGGAAATTGTTGTTAATTATCGATATGCCAACTGGTTTTTATATGTGTGTGTAAATACAAACATATAATGAATATGGACTGACTGCAGCTCTTTAAGAAATGCTTATATATATATATCTATATATAAGCATTAT